TTTGTGGTTCACAAAGTGTCCTGTCCACCTTTTAGCATACTCTGATGCCGATTGGTTTGGCTGCACATTTGATAAGCGTTCTACCAGTGGCTATTGTGTGTTCCTAGGCTCTAATCTTATTAGCTAGAGTGCCAAGAAACAAAGCATTATTGCTCGTCCATCTACAGAAGCTGAATATCACTCCTTAGCTCACACAGCTATAGACATTACTTAGTTTGCAAGATTTTCAAAGATCTTCACTTCCTCTATCTACACTGCCTACACTTTGGTGTGACAACATCTCAGCTATATCCTTAGCATCTAATCTGTCTTTCATGCTAGAACAAAGCATATTGAGATCGATTATCACTATATTAGAGAATTGGTTCTGGAAAATCTCCTCAAAGTGCAGTTTGTTTGCAGTGAAGACCAATTAGCTGATCTTCACAGCAAGTCCCTATCTAAAAACAGATTCACCTATATGTGTTCCAAGCTTCCAATTAGAATCATTTCTGATTCCCCTTCTCGCTTGAGGGGGTGTATTGGGGAGAATGACAAGTCATCCATTCCAATTACTGTTAAAATTAAATGTAATTAGTTGTGGTTACCGTTGTGATTAGTTAAGACAATTATAAGATTAGCTAAGACAGTTAGGGGTATCTATGTAAATAGCCAAAAGGCTATATATACCAACACACTGTGTAATTCATTATTCAGTCAATACAAGAAGAAAACCTAGAGGAAGTTTTCTGTTTCAATAGAAACATTAGTCCACAAAAAGTGTTTCCTGTCGGTTTTCAACGATAGATCGCACAACAAAAACGGATACCAGGACAATGTGGTGGGTATATTTGATTTCACAAAAAATACAGCAAATCATGGGAATCAACATGCGCAAAGGCTGGGGAGAATCGGATGGTATGTTTTGGTTATGTTTTTCAAGTATGTCGTATATATGCATGTTCTATGTAGACACTTGATGAAATAGAGCGCGAGCTGACCAGATTGTTACCGGCTAGACTAACAAACCTCTTTGAATTTCTAGTTGCCTCGAGGACTAGCATGATCTTTCTATCAAACTAATAAGGCAGTATCTCATATATCATATGTCTCTACTCAAATAGTTTTTATATGGCTGTTAGCATTCGCTACCTCCAATGTCTATACTCTATTTGGTTTTTCTTTAAAACCAACACTGTTGTTTGTATCCCTTGCTAAGAGACGAAGAAGTAGAAGTTAGGAGGAAGACGGGATCTTATCGAGTGTATCATCGGCCAACTTCCATGACATCTAACATTAACTAGTTCAAGTCAGAAAATGATGATAGACTTGCTAACTTAAAAGTGTTTGTTTGTATCAGATCAGTTAGTAGGATTTTATCTAGACTTTTGGGGTAAATCAACACTTCAAGCACAATCTGGGTTTACACCTCAAACTCATTTTTGTTTTGGTTTTAAAAGGCATTACTTAAATTTGAATAAGAAAATTCTACTTTACTAGATTAGATGATATTGATGTAAATATTTGAGGTTTACCTAGTTTGCGGTGGTTTCAACCATAAGTTTGTTCAACTCTTACAACCCATCCAGAACCCTGCAGCAAATCGGGTGGTTGACATGATCTGCGAGAAAAAAGAAACCCCTTTTACATTAACCAACATTTCTCTTGTAAAACGAAATACAATGCATTTCTGCATGGAAACAAACAAAATCATGAGCTTAAATCCTGATATTAACAAGACATCCAAAAACTTGAAATCAAAGAATTAAATCAGCGGTTTCGATCGCGGTAATTAGTATAAGTAGCAGCCGAATTATGGGAAAACTAACACCATGCTACCTAATTGAATTGCTACTTCTAATATCAGTTTACTTCCACAAACAATTATAATCAAACAAATATTTAAACATTTTAATTAAATTTATACTTTATAGGACCCGAGGAAAAAGAAAAGGAATATGTAAAGAAACTACGAAATAAAATAACAATTCTTCATTCCTCATCTTCAGATGAACATAGTAGTTTAAAGGGGTGTGATATCCACACACTCTATTTTAATTCTCACACATCTTTTTAATTTTCGGCCGTCGAATCGAATGAATTGAAAAAGATCAACGGACAAAAAAACTACATGTTGGAAGAACCAGTGCTACAATTGAGTTAAAATTGGGAGGTAATTGCTACAATTTTCTCATTTAGTTTTTCATAATTTCCCTTTCATTCCACGTCACATATGTGGCACGTGAGTTATTTTATCAGAAGTTCTAACGGACTTACGAAAAGAACCGTAACTGAGTATTTTGATGAATTAAAAGACAAATAGTTACATATTTTAGTTAAAGAATTATTACTACAATTTCCTTCCTTTAACTTATTTAGCTAACTAATCTAAATTAATATTGTAAATAAGGCTAACCTCAAAGTAGTTCGATAAATGTCTGCAGGTTTGTCTCCTTCCCATGGAGGTACGGGTACCACATCCATAATCTCCTGGAATGTCCTGTTAAGACGCGGAGGTGCTCGACATGATGCTGAAACAGGTATACGTTAAAACCAATCAGCATGCTTTATACGATACTAATCTTATGTGACATGCATGTTGTCTGTCAAGACCTATGACACAAAGTAATGGAATATTTTCTCTCTTGCCCTTAATTTTTGAGTCTCAAAAACAAGTGCAGCTAAAAGAAGGATTAAAGCTTTTCCGTCACAGTGTTAATGGCCAAAATCTATCTTGGTCACTGTGTTTTTCATTTAGGCATTGGCTCACTGTTCTCCAACCTTTGCAATCTAAGAGCTCGTTTGGATGTACTTTTAAAATAACCGAAAGCACTTTTGGCAAAAATATTTTTAGAACTAATCCTTAGTAAAAATGCAAGTAAATTCTAGAAAAGTGGTTCCCTGGAAGAAGCACATAACTAATGTTTCTTGCAAAAAGCACTTTAAGTGCTTTTGGAATCCAAAAACATTTTCTCTAAAAACGCTTTCAGTTATTTTAAAAGCATATCTAAACGAGTCCTAAGTCACTTTCTATAAAACAATTTATTAAAATTCATTTTTCTAATTGAATAATAAAAAAATACTAATACAGTAAATATAGTAGTTATTAAATTCAAAGCCGAATGAGAATCAAACTGGGAAAATGATTCGACTGCACAAAGAGAGTAGTTTGTTTTCTGCAATTAGTTTATGTAGGCAATGTGAACTTTTGGATAACTTGCATAGTTACATTTGTGTTAACAGAATATGACAGAAAGAAAGGGAGGGAGGGTTAGCAATGAGATCTTGGTGTTGGGACGGAGACTACCTGAGGCTGGGGGTCTTGTCCGAGAGGGGAGTGCAGCTGCAAGAAGTGAGAATGAATAAGGATTGAACTGAAAAGAGGAGGTTATACATGTATATATGCTCTTATACACAACTTTTCATGCTCTGACACACACCATTTTCATTTTTCTGTTGGAATCTTGTTTGGCCTCTACAAATCATGAAAAGGAATTGTCACATTATAATTATAATCAGTTAGAGTTAATTATTAGGTTAACTTCCTTTAAGGTAGGACCTTAGGCAAACATGTTGAAGTGATGAAAAACCCCACGTCTCTAAGGATTGAGTAGTGCTTTCAGTTACCAACTGCTGTTCATAATAGGTGGAATGCAGTTTGGATCAGCATCTATATATGGAATGGTCCCTGCTTAAGAGGAAAATGTTTTATACGGAAACTAGCCCTATTCTAGTGAGAACATAAGGTTCCTACTGAGTAGAAAATTCTTCCTTATTCACCGTTTCACGGCTTTATCAAACATACAACAGGCAAAGGTGAGAAGTTATTTATTTATTTCCATCAAATGCATTTGGGTTGAATTGATAACCAAACTCTTGTTCAGATACATGTATGTGGATTGTGATTTAGGGTTCTTGCTAATTGTAACGTTCCAACATTTTCACCTTTCCATCTTTGGATATCTGGTCAAATGAAAGCAACGACGTGATTGGACATGGTATGCAGAAAGAGAAAATAGTGTGCTTTGTCATGTCCCAACTGAAAAACATGTATGTATACTTTCTACTAATATTAAATATATACATGAAGAAATTTAACGGTCGGATTGTCGTTTAAGAGTCGAAGATTATGAATATGATACACTTAGAAAATAACGTATGTTATACACAAATGTATGGTAGAAGCACTATTCAGCTTAATCTTACAACCTTCATGTTCTAAATACAATGTTTGCCACTATAAGTTTTGAGAACATGGCTAAATCGATTGAAATGAGGTTAATATGAGTTAGGTCAGCAAGTTAAAGCAGTGTGATTGTTTTCTTACACTCAAGTACAAAATATTCTTGTATTATCGATTTTCCAAAACTAAACAGGTATGAGTAGGTCAAAATAGTTTGATCGTTTTCTCACACTCGTGAATGTGAGTTAAGGTTTCAAAGTTACTTTTATCCAACCTCTTATCTACCCCTCTTTATATCTTCATGCTTGTCTACAACTATAATTTGAGTTGTCTGGGGTTGTTGTACTGCTCTCGACTTTGTATCCGTTAGAACTCATATTTTAATGATCTCCAGCCTTTTATTTTCCCGTAAGCTCCGTTTGGCAGCAGTCTTCTCTTCTCTATGGTACAACCATGACTTAGATAGTTACATTAATTTTAACATAATGCGACAGAAACTACCAGGAGGAGGATTGGAACGGGACCTTAGGTGCAAGGGTGAATGCCCCTAACCAATTGCGTTACAAGCCACTAACATGATAAACATTGTATTTACATGAAAACCTCAGGTGCAAGGCTGAGGTTTTCAGTCTTTTAGCATAACATTATTTCTCAAATTAATTTGATTAGTTGGAGTTTATTTTTATTTCCTTGTACAGCCACGTTAAGTTAAGGTTGAGTCATCATACCCTTTATTTTAGACCGTTGGAGGTTGACTTGTTGAGTCATCTTACACCTTATTTTAGAACATTGGATGAGAATTAATCTAAAGACTAAAAACAAGTGTAAACATATCCGTCGACCCTTTGTATTCTCAGTAAAGTAATTATCATGTGTATATATATTCGTTTTATTGTCTTAATCTTCAAAGAGACTACAAGAACCACAAGCGGAATGGGGAAGAAAAAGATCAAGAAAAGCCTCCGAGCAAAGCGTGTGCGAAACTGTCATACATGGACAGAACTAGCAGACGACCTTATAATATCGATAATGTCAAGGTTGACAACCTTGGAAATCCTGACGAGCGCTCAGGTGGTGTGCAAGGTGTGGTTCAACATCTGTAAGAACCCTCTCATGTGGCGCACCATTGACATGAGAGGAGATGACTTATATTCCTTAGGAAAAAAGTACAATTTGAAGAAAATGTGTCGACACGCGGAGCAGCTGTGGTAATTTGGTCGAGGTCAAGTTCGACCACTTCGACGACGCTGATAGGTATGTCAGTTTTGCATGTTTATATATTATTGTCACTTTAGAATTTGATTTTGTTGTACTTCGGTGGCTAAATTTTCAACCCTTTATGCAGTTCGAGTAGACTTAGAAGCCTCCGACTCGTGCAAATATTGTGTGGAACTGGGAAAAGTGGCTTCGAAGTTTCCATGGTTGGAGTACCTTGAAATTTCATTGTTTCCCGTAGGAATCTCACGTGAATCCTTGCTAGTGGTCGGACGCTCTTGTCCACTTTTGAAATCTCTTAAACTTAACAAAATCTGGTACACTGGACAACGCACTTGCAATAGCAGGAACTATGCACGGTTTGCAGCACCTCCAAGTTTTCGCAAATGAGCTGACAGATGAAGGCTTGCGAGAAATTCTTGACTGTTGTCCTCGTCTCGTGTCGCTCGGCCTGCGCTATTGTTTTAACCTTAAGGTCGATGGAGATTTGAGAATGAGATGTGCTGAAGGAATCAGAACATTGTGGCTGCCCGAAGATTCCATTGCCGACTATGAATTTGCTGAAGCAGCTCAAGACGACGTCATTTGTTCCGAGTTAGACTTATCAGGAACGTCGTCAGTATAGAAGGTATAATTATGATTATGATTATGATTACGATTATGATTATGATTATGATATCCCAACTTACGATGACTTTTATTTGAAAACAAAAGGGCCATACCCATCCAAGTAACATGGATCTTACTGTATTCTTTGTTAGAGTCTACTTTGATAGGGAATTTAGGAGCTGTTTTCCTTTGGGGTCAAGTTTGCTGTTGTTTTCCATCCTTTTTAAGGAGCAATACTTCGAAAAATAAAATTTCCGTCAACTTGTATAATGACATGTGGTATACAATCCCATTAAAACCTGAAAATGGCATGCAACCCCAAAAATTTTTACGTCAACTTCTGTCACCTTGTATAATGACATGCAAACCCAAAAATATTTACGCAGATACTTCATCAAAAACTCCGGGATTCGATGGAGTAACGGTAAAGGAGTTAATCAATTTGTATATAACAGACAATAAAATTGCATTACAAATGCGTACAAAATTGAACCATATTCTCTTGAACTAATTGTCCATCTATCAACTTAATGTAATTCGCAATCAACACGAACGAAGAAAGGGCGGGACGGACACCTGTTCGAACATGGAGACGCAAGGGTGAAGAATTTTTGCACAAATAATATTGTCATTGCTCTCTAACAGCTCTACATGCTGCTATTAGTACTCTTAGGTGGGTAAATTAACAAGATTTGAAAGTTTTCGCCATCACGCATGCAAATCTTTGTTCAACTTCCATACAGGGGCAATTTGGGGAGCAGAATCAGTTCCTACACCGCTTCCGTTTTCCACCCCCATTAGAGGATCAGACTCACCCTCTCCTGCCTGAAACCATTTCAAAGGAAAAGAGACGACTTCATACATCAATTCGTTATTCAATGTTTACGAAAATGATTCAGATATCTAGAAAGTACGTCATGCAATTACAGAGATTAAGCAAAGTGGGCTAGAACCTGTGGTGGCTGCGTTGCTTCTTCGGCAGCCTTTTTCTGACCCTCACGAGTGCAAAAGTAAGAATATAAAACCATCCCAGCAAGTGCGACTAATATTCCGAGGATGTTCCTCCAGTCAAATGGATCATGAAGCAAAATATAACCAAATGCCAGCACAAGGCATGTCTTTAGATGTCCAAGAACTTGATATGTGACAGGAGATGTCTTTCCAATCACAAGAAATGTGCTAAAGTTTACAGAGACGGAGATTAGGCAGGATATAATTATGAAAACCTGCAAAATCAGAGAGAGAACACAATCAGTAATGCTTTCTAGGGAAAAGGGGAAAAAAAATAATGATTTCAATTCTCACCAGCACTTGAGTTGTATACTTGAAAGCAAATACATTTTGATTCGTCAAGAACCAATCCAGAAACGGGCCAGTGATTAATAAAGTTCCTGATTGATATGGACATGATTGATACAGAAGTTGTGTTGAAGAAACCTTAAACTTCTTTTGGATGGTATTTGTCATCTGAAAGAAACTAGTCAAGGAAACAAAATTGGACAGCTGAGACCTATTGAAATGACCTAATAAGGGCATGCATGTCAGCTCTTTCTAATGGAAAGTATCCAGCACTATGAACTGTGAGACCTGAACAGCTTCAGACTCGTACATGTAAGTATGTTTTTCAAGACGGAGAAAACTAATACAGGCAGTGCTGGTGAATTTTTTTTCTTAAAGCAGTAAAAAATAGAAGTGATTTAGAGACTTTGCATCCATGACTTTAGACAATATCATTCAAGAATTCTTACGTCCAGGTATTTTCTTTCTTTAATTATGCAGTGGTATATGTGTCAATGGTTCATACTATAACACAAACTAGACAGAGATATTAGTCAAAAAAGAAAACTCTATCGAGGATACAATTTGGGCAACGCATGTTGTAATAACTGCAAGAAGAGACAAGATACTTCCAAGAGCATTAAGTTGAACATCAGTGACTGTTGCAATCCCAACACCAAGGAGCAGAACAAGGAGGGCAATCTGAATGCTCCTACTGCAATAGGAATTGAAGTTAAGATAATATTAGAATGGTAATAGGTAAGGAAATCAGAATATAAGATTATGGATTAACAATCAATGTTGCAGATTACGAGGAAACTAAATGCAGTACGTTTGAAAGTTGAACCGTGATGTGAAAAGAGTAAATGGATTGAAAGACATGAAGCAGTAGGTTCCTTAAGTACTGAATATCAGCTATCGCAGCAGGAAGTGAACTGAGGTGGTCAGAATCAGTGATGGCATATGATAAATTGGCATTCGACAGTGATAAATGGTAAGGAATGCACCATCATAACAAGACAAAACTCAACCCCTTGCCCCTCCTCTTCCTCATACTTATTTATTTAAGATATAACAGCATTACTTATTAAAATAAAATGAAAAAGAGGCACAGACAAATTGCCAAAGTACTGTAATTATACCTTTATATGAATTCAGAGGGAAGGAAAATACAAGAAAAACCACAATATCACAATTTTATATTTCGCGAAACAATTATATTTCCACTGGATCAAGAATATAAACACATCATAAGCAAATACAACAAGATTATATATGGGTAACATTGGGCAACAAATGGCTCCGTTATGAGTTTAAAACTTTGGATATGCTTGAATGACTCGGTAAACCAACATCTGAGTAAAAAAAATAAAAAATAAAAAAGGCTAAACCTGAATTTCTTCGCTAGGAAAAGGGTCTCCAATAGTACAGTACAAGGGATGATTGCCAGCTTAGTCATCTAGAATGCAAGAACAAAAGAGGATTTCAGAATTATCTGGAAAATGCTGAAACACCAAAGTTTTAGCTAGAAGCTACAAAGTCAAAATGAAATTGAAGGAAACAAATATACCTGATAAAAGCCAACTGAATTGAACCCCAGGCTCAGATTTAACAGTCCAATTGAGATTCCATTCAGAATGCCAAACCCCGTCACAGTCGTTTGATCAAGCGGTTTGTGCTCAAAGAATTTCATCTTTAAAGCCACGTGAAGGGAACAAAAGGTGACTAAAAGATGCCAGCTTGTCAAAGTTGTGGCTGCACAAATATGTATAACAATCTAATCAGTAATCACAGTAAATTCGGGTAAACCAAGTAAAAATTAACAGGATAGCAAAATCTTCCACATAACAATAGTGCACTCCCGTAATTTTCCTTCAAAAAGAACATTTAGCGGTGGGATTTACCAATGCGACCTGTTTGAATTGCTAAAGGACCCAAATTATATCTCCTTACTGCATCCTGGCTGAATTAAATTTCAATGCTGTTTAAAGTTGAACTACAAATCGAAAGCTATAATGAGTGGAATCACCAACAATAACTCCCCCGCCTTACCCTTTAAAACAGAAAATAAAATTGCAATTGTTTTGAAAGCTCCAAATTTTTGTTTCTATTTAAGTTTGTTATTCAATAGCAACAACTTCATCAGTTTTATTCGTTTGCCCACGAAACCTTCAAAGCGCATCATTCTTACCAAACTTAGATTTCTAAAAATTAAGGCAACCCAAGTAAATTCAGCATTGAATGCAATAAAACACATGGTCCAGAAGTTGAAATACCAACAAAAATAAGGCAACAATGGAGACATTGAAAAGCTTACCAAAAGTGAAACCCAAAGAACTAATGAGGGCCTTGTTGCAAATGACAATGGAGACCGACGAGACCACAGAGAGGGTCAACGCTCCCACTGTCCCCAACTGAAACCTCGCGCCTTCCCCCATCTTTTTTGCCTCCGACCCAACTTCAAGCTGTCCACAAACAACCCAAAAACTATAATAAAATATAAAAAAATCCATAAAATGAGAAGAAAACAAATGCGGAATATCAAGTGAGCTCACTAAGATTAGCAAAAACTGGGAAATGGGCAATCAGAGAAGCGGATATTAATGGGTTTAGAGGGGATCACAGTCTCAAACAACCCCAAAAACTCAAAATTTCAATCTTTTTTCTATGAAATAAGAGAAAAAAAGTTACGCAGAATATGAAGTGTACTCACTAAAGGTAGCAAAAACTGAGAAATGGAATATCATAGCAATAGAGATTAATGGGTTTTGAGGGGACAAAAGACTCAAACAACCCCAAAATCTCAAAAATCCAATCTTTTTACCATAAAACTAGAAACGAAATGCAGAAATTGAAGTGAACTCGCTGAGAATGGCAGAATCTGAGAAATGGGCAATCCAAGAAACATATAATAATGGGTTTTAAGTCGCAGAAAAACCCCAAAATCTTAAAAATTCAGCATCTTTGTCCATAAATCAGAAGAAAAATATTGCAGAATATGAAGTGAACTCACTGAGAGTGACAGAAGCCGATAAATGGGCAATCTGGAGAACTAGACGTTGAGTTGTTTGGAAGGGATCAGAGTCTCAGATCTGATGGATGGCTGAGATCAGTTGGAGGTCAATGCCCAATTGGTTGTGTTGTCTGTCTCTGTGATTTGCTTGTGGAATTGGAGACTATTGGTCAGCTGATTCAAGAGAGATGCACCTAACAATTTGCGTCCAACATAAAAAAATACTTGTAAGAGTGGGGGGGGAGAGAGAGAGAGAGAGAGAGAGAGAGGGAGGGAGGGAGGTCTCACAGCTGACAGAGAGCTGATGGTGAGGTCAGTGGGTTTCGTGTCTATTTCCTTTTATCTTTTCTTGCTGGAGAATGAGGGGGGAAGGACGCCGACGGTTAAAATACTGGATATATGACACTCGCAAAAGGTTGCAATCGGAACCGTCCCCTTCGGATCCAACCAAACTAAGCCACCTAATCAATAATTCGGATTGTTGATCCAATAGTTATAAACAGAGATTCCTTTAAAAGTTATAAAAATTGTAACCGTTTGATTAAATTTTAATTGTTTGGATTCATTGATTAGTGAACTCAATTTTAGTTGATCCGGAGATGATCCTATTCCGTTGATATTTTTATGATGCCCTAGTACGAGAATCTTCGGATTTTAACTGTTAGATAGTTGTTTAAAATATAAAAATTAAAATGTAACAGTTGAAAAATCTGAAACATTTTATACGGGGATTATAAAACTTTTATTAAAATTAGATAAAATTCTTGTATAAAAATAAAAAATAAAAAATGAAAATCAAATCGATTACCTCATAGCTTATTTCCTTCTTTATTTTGAGATATTGTATGCTGATTTTAAGGTAATATACATAGAGAAGTCATTAATTTGAATAATTTGTTCTTCTCCTACACATTCTTGGTGCTCATGGCTCATGAGAGGCGTAATTTCTTTGATAAAGGAGAAAAAATTTTGGTTGAGTAGCTCAACCAAATCATATGTGCGACCATATCACGAAGAAGGGAAACTCTCTGATCGTCTATTCAACTTAATATCATTTTCATATAGGCATTTCAATCTCTCATGACCACCATCATGCTATTAACCAGTGTCAGGAATCGAATTTAGGACTTGTCGTGTAGAACATGGGTCTAAAATTCGTCCCTAACCACTGGATCATCCCAAGAAACCTTTTTTTTTTTTTTTTTTAAAATTGTCAAACGATAGATTTTATTAAATTAAATGTTAAATTAGAAGAAACGAAGTTCAAACTTACAAATCCCTGTAATAAAAGACCGCTTACCGGCTTGTTACATGTTCATTGGTATCAAAGGACAAATATTTTGTCTAATTGTCCACTGTGGTCCCGCTAAACATCCATACTTATGGCACAGGGAATTTTGTGGATCTGAAGAAAGTAGTGACCAAAAAATAACCGAGGAACATGTTCTTTTCGTTTCAATTCTACGAGAAATACTGACGAATTTTATAACTCCTTACTCTTCGGAGAGACAGATATTTGAATTTCTTGATGGAGAATTCACAAGATTTATGCAGCACAGAGGGAGATGGGGATGGACGGAAGGATGTGGCTTCCACTTCTTACACCACCGCATGCGTCGGCGCTGCGTATCGGTTGTTTGGACGTCAAGAGTCAGTGCACAATTGCTTGGGCGGCTGTCAAGGTGACAAAAATTGAAACTTTTTGTTTTATTTTATCTTTAATTTAAAAAGATCGAAACTTTTAGGACATTTCTGGCGTTTGGATTTGTGGGGTTTCTCTATAATTTCCTTTCCATCTTTTAAACTTTTGGGTTTTGTAATTTGATTATCTGCGAAAACGAAAATGTTGTGCTTTTGGTTCTTGATTATCTGCAAAAACGAAAATTTTGTGCTTTTGGGTTCTTGATTATCTGATATGGAGCAATGTTGGGTTGCATTTACTGTGTAGAATTGATAGGTTAACTTGAATGTATCTCTGGTTTATCTCGGAGTGTCTATGTTGCCAATTGATTAGAAATTAGAGTGACGTTGGATGGTGAAAGCCAACGCATGAGTAAAGGTGTAATGTAGAGGTTGTGGTAAAGGGGGCAGTTGATCAGTGTGCTCTTTAGTTGAAAAGAAATGTGTCGTTAGTTACAACTGCCGGAGAAGCCTGAAAGTTAAAGAGTGGGAGAATGAAGGTTTTTTGGGCAATCGTTTTCAATTTTCTGTTAGTAGTTGAAGAAAAGAAAGAAAAACTGCGGGAAAAAAACAATGTATCTTGTAGCAATCAATGGCATTCTTGGAGTGCAAATTTGCAATCACTTGCATATTTTAGGGTAGGGGATAGATGTGTCGCAGGGCTTGTTGGGCTTGTTTTGTGAGTCAAGTGACCGTCTTTTTGTTCTACTTAGGGAAACTCAAGAGCAAGCTAACTTTAGCGGTTTGTTTGAGTTAATTTGCATCATATTGACTTTACCACCACATTTACTTTCCAAGAGTACTGTTGTTATCCGTGATAGAGAAGCAAATGACATCTTTCCATAGTGCAAGTGTAAACGCTGCATATTTTTATTATGATCTGATGCATGTAGACAAACTTAAATCAGGTACATATATAGCTAGGCTTCTAGTAGTGATCACCCAGTATGCCCCATTATCCAGTTGCTCGGAAATCTCACATTTGCCTATCAGTACGTGTGTACAACGCCTGATTCTTTTCCTGTCACATTTGCTCTTCCAGAAGTCTTTTGGAAATAGCTAGGCTAGTTGTTCCCTCGTTATTCATTCATGCATATGTGAACAACTTGAATGTAGGAATTGGATTTCAAGTATCTGAATATAGTAATGACTGACTCGAGAATGGTTTTCACTTGTTATTTGCATATCTACCTATCTTGTTTTGCCAACATTTTTCATAGTTCTATTCCTTAGTACATCTCTTTTTCCTTTTAGCTGCTGATGTTTTGTTGTGGAAGCGGGGACGTGTTTCTTTCGGCGCTATCATTGTTTCTACAGTTTCTTGGCTTGTGTTTGAGCGGTCTGGATTATCATTCTTATCAATTTGTGCAGACGTCTTGCTGATTTTGGTTGTACTCTTATTCCTTCGTGCCAACTATGCTGTTTATAGAAATAAGTACGAATTTTCTACTCTCCACTTGTATTATTATCAACCTTGCACAGAAACTGTTTACAATGAGGGTAACTATCATATTCTTTGAGTAGACAATTGCAAACATTACCGGAGTTAGTAATATCAGAGGAAATGGTTAACAATGCTGCAGCATCGTTTCGTGTTAAAATCAACAATGTGCTGCTTATGGCTCATGATATCACTCTTGGCAAAGATTTTAGACTGTTTTTCAAGGTCAGTGTTGCGTTGCATCTTACAATGATAATGTTTTTGGAATCTATTTTCTAGCTGAAACCACAAGGTGTTCTCTTTCGACTTCTCATTTTATCTGTTACCGATTCAAATTTATGACTTTTACGAAGCTACTATGCATTTGACAGGTGGTGGTTTGGCTGTGGCTCTTCTCCGTCATTGGAAGCTTTTTCTCCTTCTTTACACTTGCTTATATCAGTATGTGCATCCTCCTCCTGTGTCTGTCAAATGAATGATCTTTGTGACTGTCTCTTTTAAATTTTTGTATGTAAGTTGTCAAGTTCTGGACCCGTTAGGTCGAATATTTTTCTAGCAGAAACGAGGTGGTTGGCACATGTAAATTTCTTGTGAGATTTTATACTTGAACTTCTTTGATGGTGGCAGGTTCAATCTTATCAATAACACTTCCTGCCTTGTACAGCAAGCATGAAGAAACCGTGGATGGGTATTACGGAAAGATCCACCGGCAGTTTTCAAAGCATTACAAAATCGTGGACGAGGGTGTTTTTAACAGAGTCCCCAGAAATGTACCAAGGGACAAAGATTCCTAATCCGGAAAATTTAGATTCAAACTCTGTGTCATCAGTAGCATACCGTTGAGTTTGGGATTTTGTTATAAAGATCGATATGTTACAAGGCCTAGCGGATTTTTTCCCGTTGTTTTTGTTCTTGTTCTGTCATCTGCATGTTGCTTTCTAATTGGTGTTGGTCGGCATGTGAAACTTCAAGCTCCTTCGAGTGAAGTTTTCAGCGTAAAGCCATTTTCCCCGTTTCGCGTCTGAGTCTGGATTTGGTTTCTTGTGCAAAATGAACGTAAGCTTAGATGTATAGAACACAACACTCTGCAATGCATACATTTCATATAATTCCATGGTATTTTTTGCGATAATATCTCGAGTACATTGGCAATCTACGATATGCTTTATTTCACCATTTCGTTCTGCACATTACAAGCCAATAAACTTCGGTTCTACATAAGAGGTTCTGCATCCAATTACTCTGAAAGAAAGGTAGTCATATATCTGCTAATTGCTTGCTTGCGGTGCATATTAAGCCTTAAGCAATTGATTGGCCTTTTTCACCCAAACATCGTAAATATCGTCTGCAAAGAGAACAAAGTGCACCTGCAACGAACATCGAATGAAAATGCCAGTGAGTTTTAGAAGAATATTCAATTGATCCATGAAAATGTAGGGTACAAGCATACATACCTCCTTTAGGCCATCCACAAACTCCTTAATTGTGGATAAAGATACTGTAGCTGCTTCATCGTAAGGATATCTGGAACAAAATGACAGTCAAGACGAGATTAATCTGTTAGTCGCTTACAACTTTAATGTGACAAGTCAATGTGATCAGATGTTACTATGATTCTTATCCTTCAACTGTAAAGCTTACGTACTCGAACACCAATGGGAGTTTCGTTGTTAACTTACCCATACACACCACAAGAAATAGCAGGAAACGCGATATACTGAAGGTTGTTTGATTTGGCTAAGGTCAAGCTATTCCTGTAATCGATTTGCACAGGAGTTTTAATAAGGAATAAAGTACCAACACATTAAACTACATATCAGCAAGAAACAGATTACAACCTGTACGCAGCACTCAGAAAGGTTTCTGGGTTGCTGCCAGAACGGTACACGGGTCCAACAGTATGAATTACATGAGATGCAGGCAACTTAAAACCCCTGCATAGTATACAACGCAAGTGATCATTGATTATGTTCTCCACGAAACTACGAATCAAAACCAAGTGATGCCATATGCATAAATGGTGGCTAAATCATGAGAACTTACGGGGTGATCCTTGCTTCTCCGGTGGGACAGCGAATACCTGGCCTGACTTCTGGGACACTATAGCATGCTTGCAGAAGATCTGGACCAGCAGCCCTATGTATAGCTGGAAGATCATTCAAAATCAGTAAAGCTATGGCAGGTTCGCTTTGAAATGTCAATTCAAAATCGTAAAACAAAATTACCTCCATCTGCACCACCACCTCCTAGCATCAGCTCATTTGCTGGATTAACCTACAAAAATGCCCATCGATATGCTCACATTCATAGAACTGGATGCTGACCAAAGAACTAAATTGCATTGAACCGGATTATATATTATCGAAAACATGGCACAAGAACACAATGGGAGCAATTTGGGACATTCATGGAACGAAAATACAGTGTACTAACATGGAGCAAGAAACAATATGAACCGTAATCAACCGGTTTCGGTTTCGGGTTGGATGCAAACATTCTATCAATACGTGCACAAAGTTATATGCTACAAGCACACAGAAGCACAAACCGCAGAAAATAGCAATCAGAAATTGTAAAACTAAAACTAAATTTACACAGAATTTGATTTGATATTTTGATTTCCCAGTAACAGAAATTCAAACCCATCAATCACTTCAAAGTTAAGACCCCGAAAGGGTGCAAAGTTATCATCTTTTCTTTTCCTATTATTTTCTCGAGAAACAAACAGAAAAGAGAGAGAGAGAGAGAGAGAGAGAGAGAGAGAGAGAGAGAGAGAGAGAACGACACAGGAATCATAGAGTAAAGAGAAAGAGAGGAGGACTGACGATGGCGTCCGTGGAGCCGTCGACGGACCACTTGGTGATATCTCCCTTTTGGATTACGAGAGTGCTTGAAGCCGATAACGGGAAGCGAACAGCTCCTTCTCCCTTAGACATGGTCGAAAGCTTAACAGAGCAGCGAAATCTTGCAGGGTTCGAAGATGCGAGTCTGATCGTGGGAGCTGAGCTGAGAAATCTAGATGCTCTGCAGAGGTAGCTGGGCATCGCACATTGACTTGAGAGAGAGGGAGAGAGGAGAGAGAGAGAGAGAGTACGAGGTAGTGTTTCCAGAGACTACCTGATTCGTCAGTTATCTATTGGGCCAGCCCAGACCCCAGGCCCAGTCATATACTCTGACTTTCAAGCTAAGCTTTTTCAACCACGAACGTCGAACTGAAGCTTTTCTTCTTTTTTCATCGTAACAGTCATCCACCAAAATCCAGTTTTCCATGATTCCATTTGACACAGAAGCCATGAGCAGGTCCCGATTTGATACGATCCTCTCCACCTTCGTTTCGGTGCACCCTCACGAGACCTCAGCTCTCCTCCACTCTTCATCCTGCTTCTTCTTCGTAAGCTCTCCTAAATTCTCCAATCGTTTTTTCTAAATTTCAACGCTTTCTCAAATTTCAAGAACTGGGGTTTGGGATTTGAGATAAATTTTGATTTTTCAATGCAGATTCTGTGCGCTTACTTCGTGGTGCTTCCGCTGCGCGACGAGGGTGCAATTTCCTTAGGTCTGTCGAGCCTGCCGAGTCTGTTTGTGGGGTCATTGGCCCTCACCTCCATTGCCGCCCCAGTTGCAACTCTCATCTTCTCTCTGCCCAACGTTTCGAAAGGCAAGGTATGTGTGTATTTCCGCCATTTTTTCGACGTGGGGAGCTTTGAAATTGTTGTTTTCTTGTGGTAAAGATCGATTATTTTCATGTGGGGTGTCTCTGTAACTTGATAATTTGGTTGAAAAGCAAAAGGGTATAGCTGGTTCTTGCCAGATTTCGATATGCGTGGTTTCTTTTTTTTTCGATATGGGGAGTTCGAAATTATTGTTTTTGTTGTAAAAATTGATTCTTTTGATATGAGGTGTTTGTGTAACTTGATAATTTGGGTTGAAGAGTAAAAGGGTATAACTGGTTCTTTCCTTGTTTTTTATATGTGTTTGTTTGCATATCGCTCTGTAATGGTTGCTTCTTGAAATTCCAGGCTTTGGTTTTGATGCTCAGGTTTTTTAGTGTATCACTTGTTGCATTCTTCTTTCTATGGCGTGCTTCGTCAGCCGGATCACAAGCTGAGGTGAAGGTGAGATGAAGTCTCATCGGGCTTCAAGTTGTTTCTGATTTGGTTGCTTTAACACTCTAGAAATATGTTCATATTGTACTGAATAGCTGCCTTGTGTATGGCTAGGGCTTGGTCACTGTAGACTCCACGTCAGTAAATGACGAAAAGGTTGATGTGAGTCAAGCTGGCACTGCATATTCCATAGCGTGGGAGAATCTTGGCTGGTTCTATGTCTCGGTCAGAATTGCATTGTTCCTCTGGGTATGATGAATATATCTAAATTGCTTCTTCTTCTTTTTTCCAAAATCTATTAGAACCTATTTCTGAATATGTAAAGTTGTTTATTTATCAAACTTTATATGGTGATAAAAGTTTGTGCTGTTTTTTGAAGATTGCCTTACTTAATCTAATTACAATTTCTTCGACTTGGGCTAGAATAATCGATGTTATGGACAGTGAGGTATGTATCCTATCCCTGCCACACAAATTTGATTGCAATACAAAATTTTGTTACACGTGTAACTTGTTGGGTATTCAGTCAGGTTCAAGATTATTTGGTTTTATTGGTGCCGGTGCCACACTAGGCCAGCTTTTTGGGTCATTGTTGGCCACGGGAATGGCTAGGTTGGGGCCATGTATGTTTCCTTATTCCATCTTTTGGAATCTGACAGTTGCGATAGTTTAAGTGTATCTTTGTGTGTGTTTGATATGTCTTAAACCATGGATTGATTTGTTGCAGTTCTGCTACTGTTTTCTGCTTTGTTAATGGAATTTGCTGCACAGTCGTCCAAAGGGATAACCCTGGATTTATCCCATGTCCATGAGAAATTAACTCCGATCAGGTCAACTATATTATCATATTGTTTTGTCTCTGGATTCTCTGAAATTGTTGCATGCAACATTTTATAAAGCACAGACAAGAGCCAAGACTGAATTCTCTGTTACAATTTTGTAATAATCTGTGTAGTTCTTCCATATTAAGTGCATTATGAGCTATGGGCATCTCAAAAGAATGTCATACATGTTCTTGTCTTGGATTGTTGTTTCTTGTGTTAGAGCTGTGGAGTGAATCACATAACTGTTGCAGCAGACATCTTAGATTTAACAATTAAGCCAGTCAAGAATGAAATTTATTGGGTTTAAAAGTATTTCCGGTCTGCAGTTGAACAATCCCGAAAATTATGAGCTTGCATTCTTTGGCTTAATGTGTATAATATATGCGGTTATAAAACTTTGTCTTTCTTGACATGGTTTCTTTTTTGGCGTTAGAGAGTCTGAGCCTGATCGGAAAACTGAGCCTAATGGGCAAACCATTCGCAACAAAGGAAATTCTCCCAACTCACCTACTCCGGTAGTGAAGCCTCAGATGTGGGCCATTTTAGATGGATTTTGGCTTATATTGTCATCGTCTTACTTGTTGTATGTGTCCTTGTTCCTGTGGTTGAGTGCGGTTATCTCGTCATTCTTTTATTTTCAGGTAAGACCATCCACTATCACGAGGTCTAACTTAATTCTAAATTAGCCTCTCTATATTATCTGACTTGACTCAAAAGGGAGTCTTGTCTGTGGATATGTTGCTCTACCCATATATTTTCATCTTCCTTTTCTCCTGTTTTCTGTCTTCCTTCTGTCGTTATTTTTATCTTTACGCTGATTTTTATCTCTAATTTTTTGTAACTTCAGAAAGTGAGTGTAATTGCCATGACTGTTACTACCTCTCTTGGAAGGAGAAAATTGCTGGCTCAGATAAACAGCTTTATTGCTGTTTTTATCCTTGCCGGACAACTTACCATAACGGTATGCT